TTTGCAAACATTTTGAAACCATAATATATATATGTATATCTCTATATAAATATGTTTTGCAAAAACAAATTTCAACGGTTGAAATCAACTGCCGACAGTTTAGGTTTCCATCAGAGAGAGTGCATCCCCGATCATTCACTTTGTCCGACAAAGGGGTTGATCCTGTCACTATGATCACCCACTCAGATAAATTCTCAGATTGTCTCAACATACCCAGGTTTTGACCCCCTCTAAGGATTTCACTGATTAGCACATCAAAGACAGCCCAATCCGGCATCTAGTGTAGTATCATAATCGAGTTTAGGGGTCAGGTGTAGCATTCCAGTTTTACCCATCTATCTCCAAGGTCTAGGGCAATAATGGAATTTTGGTCCGATTCAGGGTTTCAAAAAAACCCACACTGCATGTACCTCAGGTCTCACCCTAGTAGCTGAGACAAGCTATCCCAACCAACTTGGCAGTACACTAGTGTCAGCCTTGGCAGGATAAATCTCCCCAGATCTATCCAACGGCTGTGAAGGTTCTAAATTAACACGAGTCTCATGTGTCCAGTTTAAGGGTATTACATAGAAACACACCACAATAACATGAATCAAATGTGTACTTTATTCATTTACAATAAATGTCATAATGTACATTTTGCTGATTGGAGCTAAGGGCATACACTGTCTAACAGTAAGGTGGACTTGATCAATGTTATTTCTCTTCCGCATGGCTAACTTCCTATTGAATCTCTCTATGACTGGTTTCCAAAAGCCTTCATGTTTTGGATCACAACCCAATGACAGACTGAGGTACTCTAATGTTACTTAACTCCTGCGCACAACTCTTTCCCCAATTCACCTTTAATTTAGAGGTCCTTTGAAACTCTTCCACTAAAATTTTGCAAATTCCTCAAACTGTAATCACCAACCTCCTCGCAAAAAAATGATAATATCATCTGCAAATTGCAAGTGAGTTACCACTACCTCAGATCTCTGAACTCTCCAACCTTTGATGAGACCTTCTTGATCATCCTTGATGGTTTTCCTACTTAGAACCTCAACCATAAATGTAAACAAGAAGGGAGAGATAAACTCCTTGCCTTATTACTCTCTTTGTTGGAAAGGAATCCTTAGCCACTCAATTAATTAGAATTGAGAAATGCACCGAACTAATACAACATTTAATCCACTTTCTCCATCTTTCTTCTAGACCAATTTTCTCCAACAAGCATAAGAGGAATGACCAATCCACCATATCATACTCTTTCTCCAAGTCCAGTTTACAGATTATGCCTTGCCCTCCTTGTTTCATCTTTGTTGCCACACACTCATTTGCAACTAGGATTTGGTCCACTATTTGTTTCCCTACAACAAAGGCCCCTTGGTTTTGGGACATTACCAAGGATAGAACAGTCTTTAGCCTTCTTGCCAAGACTTTTTCAATGATTTGATAAAGGCTAGCAATAAGACTTGTAGGTCTGTAATCCTTGGGGGTTTTAGCATCTTTCTTCTCGGGTATTAGGGCTAGGAAGGTTGAATTTGCTCTTGGTGAGATTTTCCCTTTTTGATGAAATTATGCAAGTACAACCACTAAGTCATCCTTTTTGATTTCCCAGCAATTCTGATAGAAAGCCACCATCAGGTCTTGGGGCTTTTGACCTTTCCATATTGAAGAACGCTTCATGGACCTCATCCTCACTGAAGGCTCTTTCCAGGAAAGTAGCTTTATGAACTGGCACTTTGTGTCCTTGTCCCAATTCAAGTCCCCTAAATTCATAGTCATTTCTTCTAGGGTTGCATCAATCGATTTAAAATGGTTAACAAAGCCCTTCTCAATTTCCTCCTTTGAAGTTATTATCCGGTCTTCACTAACAATGCTAGAGATTATATTCTTCATTCTTCTCCCATTTGCCAAAGCATGAAAGAATTTTGAATTTCCATCTCCATCCAGTAACCACTTACACTTTGCTTTTTGCCTCAAAGAAATTTCTTCCTTAGACTTTCCTCTTGCTGCACTTTCAAATTCCATCTGTCTGATCTGTCTTTCAAACCACATTCTCTTAGGTTCTCTTTTTGGTCTATTTCCTCTATCCTTTTAGCAATTTCCTCCTTTTTCTCTTCTAATCTCCCAAACTCTTCTCTTTTTGGTCTATTTCCCTTTTACTTGTATATTCCTTGTTAACAAAGCTTCATTCCTTGTATATTCCTTGTTAACAAAGCTTCATTCCGATTGGTTGGCTACACATTTTTGTTTTGTTATTCCACTTTATAACTCAATTAATAGAAAAAAAAGGATGATTTAGGGATTGTTGAAGTTGATTTGCAGGCAAATCAATATTGGGTGGGTAGAAAGTTGATTTGCAAGGATTCATGTAGCTTCAAATATGTTCAAGTACCCAATAAAGGGTTGGCCTTAATCTTGAAGTTTTACCCACTAGAAATGATTAGTTGATAATTCTATTTTTACCATGAATAGTTAATCTTTCCATCCTCAGTGTCTAATTTGTTGCTGAATTTTAGGCAAGGAAAAGGCACCTGAACTTGATGATGGTGGGACTGGATTTCCACCTCGTGATGATGGAGATGGTGGTGGGGGTGGTGGCGGTGGAGGAGGAGGTTGGTCAGGAGGATTCTTCTTTTTTGGTTTTTTGGCATTTCTAGGGTTTTTGAAGGAGCAAGAAAGCGAGGGGCCTTACAGGGACGATAGGAGAAAATGAGCGGATAATTTGATGTTTCTTTCTCTGTTGTATCGACATTAACTATTATATTGTGTTATTGGACACAAAGAACCTATATGAATTTTCCTACACTTTTTTTTTTTGGTAAAGACGTGAATTTTCCTACTATATCCTCAAGTATGGTAAATCTAATCGTTCCACCAAATCCATTGATTTGCATTATATATATCGTAATATGTATCTTTAAAATTGCCATGCAATACTAAAGATGCCGATATTTTGAACCTATTCTTCCCAAAAATCTTATTGAAATGTTTTAGCACCAGAGGTTTAGTAACTTCCCTTTTTAGGGGTAAGCAGTAGCTTTTCCTTTATTAAAGTGGCATCTCACATCACTTGTTTAAGTGTTCAAACAGTATAGGCTTGTAGTTATCTATTATAGTTTTCTGCCAATCTTCATTAAATATATATATGTTGCTAAAAATATTACATCGAGCTCAATCGCAATGCATTTATGAATATTTGTTAAAATGTTTCCTGGTTTATTTTTCATTGATTCACATTTCAGAAGGTATACTACTTTTATTAAGATTTCGTAAAGATAGTTGCGACGTGTTAAAATAATTCATGCACCCTACATTTTAGATACATTTTATAATTGCGAACAATGAAAATTGACAAGTATTGGTATTTGGCAAATACATACAAAAGCAACAGATACGATCATTCGAAGGCCCTCTTCAAGGGGGGGTGTGCACGAAAGTGCATCTTCCCAAACTATTGTGGGATTAAAATGTCCTTACGAGCACACAAAACATGTTTACCTAGATAAACATGTTCACGAGACCTAAATTTAGGAGCATGGTTTTTAAAACCGATCCAGTGACCGATCCGGTTAGGGGTTTGCTTACCGGGTCGAACGTCCGACCATTTGACCCAAATGGTTGGCTTGTTCTGACAAAAAATAAAAAAATTAAAAAAATTGAAAAGTGGTCAAAACCGTTAGAACAATTAACCGGTTGGTTCAGCGATTTGTTGACCAAAATCAATGATTTTAGAAAAAACGGAATTGGTCAGGTAACTGATTCCCGGTTTTTCCGGTCCGACCGTCTGGTCTGATCCAGTTTTGAAAAGCATGTTTAGGAGTCCAATATATTCAGGAGGGGCTCCTTCTTCAAGGTCCTGAACTCCTGGTTAAAACTTAAAACCCAAAAACTACAAAACCAATTTGAATTCCCATTTAAAACCAAGTAATTACGAAACCAATTTATCCTCTTTATTTCCTCCCTTTTTACAATAATATCTATTGTCCCTCTTACATAAAACAAATCCGCCTTTCGTCTTCAATGACATATATAGATGATCTTGTGCTACATATCCCAGATAAAAATAATAAACAAATGAAATAAACTATGAAAAACTCACAGTCACACATGTTTTTAACTTTCTATGGTGTAACAGCCAAAATCGTGGCTGTTACATGAATATGTGGATTTTTTAGACTTTAATATGAAATTCATGCTTAAGAAAATTATGGATAATTATAATTAAAGAAAATTCCACTTTAATACCTAAACTTTGGGGTAGTGTCAGGTTAGTACCCAAACTTTTAAACGTGTCACTGCAGTACTTAAACTTAAAGTGTCAAGTTGGTCCCTGCCGTAAACTAAACTGATCATCAGTTAAATTATCCGTTGAAAATGTCAAAACTTCAAAACTACCCTTCAAAAGAAGATACTGTTCATTGTCTTTTACGTTGAGATTGAACCGGTTGAGGTATTTGAGATTCTAAATTAGATACAACTCATGAGATTAACCTTGAAAGGAAACCCCAACTTCTTGTCATCTATTGTTCTAATTCTGAAGGAAACTTGAATTCGATGATCGGATACGCTAGAGTTTTGGAGGCAATCGCAGTGAATGGTGAATCCAAGTTTCTAATCACCGAGAAAGGAGATATTGTTTGAACTAATACGTTTAATGAGGTCCGAGACGGATTCGAGTGCGATTGAAGCTAGACTCTCTTGCCTGATTGCTGTATCCATGCCGAGGCAAATTAATTTTTTGCATCTGGTTTCGTAACTCAGGTTCAATGTTTGATTTTTGTTTCCGGGTCGTGTGAGAACTCTGGGAAGGGAAAAGGATGTGGAAGGAAGAGGCCAGGTCTAATGGGTAAAGCTTTTAATGGGAAAGAGACAAGTTGTCGCAATTGCTGAAATTGTGTTGATTGTAATTCCCCACGGTTTGCTTTAATTTGACCTTATTGATGATTCCAGAAGGACTGAAAGAGATTGGAATCCACACAGCCAGATATTGGGTAATGGTTTGACTACATCGACCCGAAAGAGAAAATGAAGTTCTTTCTTCAAAAGGACAATCAAAACGAGGTGGAAAATGCTTTGGAGCAAGTCTGAAATTGAAACGCAGGAGTACGAGTAGAATAGAAGGACACATTGAGGTCTTTGGTTTCCGTGTAATAGTTTTTTGGAGTAAACTATCAAAGAATAAAATCATCAACCATCGGTTCAGGAATTTAATGGAATTAAATTTAATTAAAATAATAATAAAAAATAATTATGTTTCAGAAGGAAGGCCTAAGGCCATACAAGTTGCAGCGGGGAACAAAAATGAAAAGAAGAAGAGAGGAGAAAGAGAGTGAGAGAGGTGGGAGATGAAGGGGTAGCTGCTGCCTCTGTTCATTTCAAAGGAAGGAAGGTGAATAGTGCCAAACAGTAGATTTCTGTCCCCGTTTGAATGAGATAGTTTGGTGTTTATTCTTCCCGTTATGGTTAGAGGTGGGCCTACCATCTAAAGTTAGAAGACAATGAGTTTATTAGTCCAGAATTTCAAACACTTCAATCAGTTCAATCTCAAGGTAGAAGATAATGAATAGTGTATTTTTTTGAAGGGTAATTTCAACATTTTTAATAAATAACTGATAATCAGTTAACGGCAGTGATCAACTAAGACACTTTCTGAAAGTTTAAGTACTATAGTGACGCATTTGAAAGTTCAGGTAGTAATTTAACACTACCCTAAAGCTCAGGATACTAAAGTTGAATTTTTCCTTGTAATTATTAAGGAAATATGACTATGGAGACTAGGAAACCACCCTAGGATATATGTTCTACTTAAAACAAGCCATCACCTAGGTGACTAGGCGACAAGGCACCCCTTCTGTCTAATACCCCCATCTAATACCTATTTTCTCCTTATATACTTGTAATATTGTCATATAATTATAAAAAAAAACATTATTATATAATGATCTCTAAATATGTCAATTTAACAAATAAGATGGTTTATTGTCAAATTTCATGTTAAATGTATAGCTATCAAATATAATAGGGTATTATTGGGTCAGACCTAATAGTGTCGATTAAAGGACCTTATGGGGTTTGGTTCAGAACTGGTTTTGCACATTTACTTACTGGTTTGAGACTGGGTTTACCATCCACTAGGGTTGCAACTTGGGTGGGTTGAAGTCAACCCAGGCCCAACTTGAGCTAAATCCAAGTTAGTTGGGGTTTGGTCTCGGGCTCGGGTTGGACCAGGCCAAGTTAGTTGGGCTTGCACGAGTTGGTCGGGTTTGAAGGAATTTATATATAGTCATCTTTTATTAGTTTTTATGGCCCAATTTAAGAGTAGAATTGATTGAATATATGTACAAATGTACTTATACATATAAACAACCTTATCCCAACATATGAACATAATACATATGTATGTATTTGTTCAGGTGGGCTCGGGTTGGATTGGGCTCAGGCTACTTAGATCTCAACCTAAGCCCAACACAAGTTAAGGTCAGGCCTGAGTTTTCTGACCCAGGCCCAACCTGCAGCCCAAAAATTCGGGCCAACTCATGCAAAAGCTTGGGTTGGGCCTGCTCAAGTTGCACCCCTACCGTCCACCTTGACCTGGACCAACCTGATAGATTCTCTCTCTCTCATGATTTCTGTGGTTTTGGTCTCATATATCAATATCCTTGGATGCAAATTTTGTAAATTTGAATGCATAAGCTGCCTATCTCAAGATCTTTATGAATCAGTAATTACTAGTTATGTTTTTGCAGTCACTGCTTTAGACCGCTCGAATGCGGAAGATGCATTACTTCCAATTCCAAGGATTTACGACTTTCGTGATAACAAGAAGTTAAGCACAGGCTCTCAACATAGATGCTGAAACCTTTGTGTTGATTAAGAGAGAAGTCAAGCCTGGGGATAGCAGTGGAAGCTTAGCATAGCCTAACTAGAACAGAAGACACATGTTATTTTCATCATTACAAATTTTGATTAGTGGGTATTGCTGAAACAGAAAGATTGCAGCAGAAGCCACCGTATTTTCTCATTCTGTATTCTGTGATGCATTAGTTATTCTTTTCTGTTGATTTATCTGCTTATTGTTTTAGTTTATGCAGTTGACAAGGAAAATATTGCAGCAGATACTGTTACAATATGCATCGAGGACCGCCTTAGGTCATTAGGAAAGTTGCCCACAGATGAATTCAAGTCTTAAGGTTTTTGTATTAACATGAATGGTTTGGAAGCCATCATGTTTTGTTTTTTTTTTTTGCACTTCTTGATAACTATATATATTTTAACTTCTGATGACCAAGCTCAATTGGTTTGGTTTCAGTATCCATTGCTGATTGATTATATCTTCTTCACCAGATTAAGGCAACTGTTTTGTCTTTGACACCTCCTGATGCCTACAAGTTGCTGACAAGGCTGGTGTGTAAACAAATAATAAGAAAAAGGATCTGAACCCAATTGTCCAGATCTAAGGGATACGAAGCACGATCGGACATGGTTCAAGTGAGAATCAGTCCGATATATATCCCTGGTTCTATTGAACAGAATAAACAAACAAATACAACAAATTATCTTACCTCCCCCAATAGCCATAACCATGAAATTGATTTCTTGTTTGATGAGAGATCCAACTAAATCAGTGATCCTGCATCCATGTTCTTGATCAAAAAAAGGAATAGATCTTTGGTACACCCTCAACACACAAGTATGGAGTTTTTTTTTTTTTTCTTCTAGTATTTTTCTCTTCTCAAGTCTAACCCCTCTAGAGCTTTCACATTAAAAAAGTGATAGGGGACCTTCTTGAACGTTCCCTTATGAATAAGCTCATTAACTAGACTCAAGGAGAAAACTTTCTTT